TTTGGTTTGTATTTCTAATTTACAAAAACTCGTGTCAGGGAGTTCAGCCACACCACAGATATGCTCTTGACCAGCTGAATGCTCACGCTTCACCAACATTCCACGTCTGGCCTGTTTCACCAACTTTGCACCACAACCAGGCCGTCACGTACTCACAGGAGATGGAATGGTGCATCCCTGTCAGTCTGTTTTATCGATGGGTTTCAAAGTGGGCTTCATATCCTTAATGTCTATTGGTACTGTTCTGCCTCACAGGAAGAAACAAGGACAGAACCCAACGGTTTTCATTTTAATAAATTGTCTGAAATCTGACAAGTATAATTTCAAAAACACAAGAGTAAAACAAGCAGGTTCTATGTTGTCTGAAACTTTCACAATAAGGGCCTTTTAGGCTAGAATATTCCTTGCAATTAAATACGGATGTGTGACTTTATAAAGTCATTATAAATAAACAATTCTTTACACCGAGACGAGAGGAGTAAAAGGAGAAGAAATTATGAGCAGGGAGGAGAGGAGTGCCCTAACTGTGGAAGACATGCCAGGAGCCATTCCCACATGGAGGAAAAACGAGTAGCACCAAAGCCATACAAGGTCACGATGGAATTCTGGGGATGTAAGATTGCTTTTAGTGTCTTGGAATGGCTGAAAGTCTGTCATGATAAAGAACTGACCAGGTACTAACTCCTTCCTCATCAAAATTCAAATGTATCTATATGGAAAACTGTCTCCATAAAATGTCAAGTCTGGTTATACAATCGGTCAGTAAGAAAACTTGCAAAAACTCCTTGACAAGTAGTATTTGCAGATTACACACACACACACATATATATACATGGATGCATTGTGATAGGTCACTGGTACATGGCCCTTCTCGCCAGTCTTTATAACTCCCACAAAATGACTGGGTGGGACTATGCAAATGAGGTGATTGTGGCTCACCAAGGGCACTGGATGCCTTGCTGGTAAAGTAAATAAAGTACATGGCATCCTTTTAGGGATGGTTAGGTGCTGTTGAGTCTGCCAACTCACAGCGACCCTACGCCCAACAGAACAGAACACTGCTGGGCCTGCACCATCCTAACAACTGCTCTGTTTGAGCCCAGTGTTGCAGCCACTGTGTCAATCCATCTCACTGAGGCTCTGATCCTCTCTTTTACCGAGCACGATGTCCTTCTCCAGTGACAGGTGCCTCTTAATAACACATTGAAAGTACGTGGCACGGAGGCTTGCCCTCTCACTTCTAAGGAACATTTTGGCTGTACTTCTTCCAAGACAGATTTAGATTTGTTCATTCTTCTGGCAGTTCATGGTATACTGTGGGGGTGGGACCATGCAAATAAGTTGTATGGAACCTAACAAGGGGTTGGTCAGTTTGGCCATCCCACAAGGCTTACCATGAGCCATCCCAGAGGCAGAAAGGGGTGAGCTACT